GTCTTCAACCCGAAGTCCCAGCTAGCTGAAATCTACAAGCAGCGTGTCCTGCCCTTCGGATCCGTCGCGTCCGTGACCGCGTTCTTGCGGTGCTCATCCGCCGTCTGGATGATAGGGGCGAAGTTGTTGAAACTTGTCTGGAGCGCTTACTTCGACGACTTCTTGTCCCTGACCACGCCTGCGCTCTCCAGACATACCGACATTTGCATCTCTGTGATGTTTCAATTACTGGGATGGGAGACGTCAGTCGAGAAACTTGTACCCTTCAACACTTGTTGCAAGGTACTGGGAGTGCAGTTGGATCTTGGACAAAGTGTCTTCGGAAAAGCTTTAGTGTCCAACACGAAAGACCGAAGTGCCGAGCTCACAGACGAGATCGATAGCATCTTGGCTTGTGGACGCCTGAAGCGTCACGACGGTGAAAGGCTCCGAGGGCGCCTGCAGTTCGCGAGTGGACAGCTGTTCGGGAGAAAATTCAGACTCCTCCTTTCAGTCTTGAATAGGCATGTCTCAAGGGGCTGGACACAGATCAGTGACGATCTAAGACAAGCCCTCGTGAGCATTCGTTCGCGGTTGGTCTCTGGGTTGTCAAGGGTCATCGACAGCCGTTACAGCGACTTTGTGCACATTTACGTAGACGCATCCTTCTGCCCAGGCGGATATAGTGGTGTTGGTGGTGTGCTGTATGACAGCTCAGGGGATGCGCAGAATTTCTTCAGCTTCAGGGTGCCGGATGAGTGGCTTGCCTCCATGAGCAGCGAGGGAGCCAAAGTGGTCATTCAAGAGCTTGAAGGCTTTGCTGCCTTGTTGGCCTTGAGAGAATGGTTGCCGTCGTACCCTAACAGACGATTTGTGTTGTTCACTGACTCGGAGTCCATCAAAGGGTCTCTACTTAAGTGCGCGTCGGAGAACGCCGTGTGTCACAGGACAGTGTCTTGGATCCTTGATTGTCAGGAGAATGCGTCGTCTTCAGTATGGTACGAGCGAGTACCAAGTGAATCTAATCCAAGTGACAGGTTGTCGAGAGAAGAGGTCCTCTCGCTTGGGAGTGCTGTCCGAGTGGACTTCAATTTGCAGGAGTTGTGGGATGACGTTTTGCAGTCTTTGGTCAAGGGGTGAGTCGCAAGACTGAGTTGAACGCAGAAACCCCGTGGTCAAAAGATGAGAGTGCCATCAGCTGCTTTGTGTCATGTGAAACGTGAGACGAAACGTTGACGAGTTTTGCTTCTTGTCTCCACGATTTCTTTTGGGCTGACAGCTGTATAAATAAGTTTGATGATTATACACAATATCCTTGTCATAATAATGTAATTATTCTTTGGCGGGCATGTGTTTTGATGGTGGCTGATCTCTCTATACCACCCAGATGTGCTCGTGAATCTCAGGGAAGACTCTCCACGAGTTTGGTAGAAAAACCTCGGCTTCTAGTAATCCTGGAGTAGCGGGAACTATATGTACAGACATGGTCAACGTCTTTTTGTTGCCTTAACTCCATGCAGTGACGGGCCACGAGAGGGACTTGGACTGGGAGATTGCTCCATGAACGGGTTGTTTTTCTTCCAGCACCCTCCAGGTCACCGATTGAAACCTTCTCCTTCGGGTCTGTCCCCAGGAGACCTGGAGGGTGCCGTGATGTCTTCGGCTGCATATCCTCAGTTGTTGGCAGAAGTCAGTCATGGGACGACCAAGTACGGCTCGCAGATTCCTGGCGCCGTCGCAAGAGACCCAGGATGCAAAACCACTGGACTGCTCTAAGACACCATGTACCAAGGGCTCAAGAGCTTAAGAGCCCAAGAACCCATGCTTTATGCTGTTAAAGCTCTATTCCGGCAACATGTACTCGATGACATGCGTGGTTCCGCCAATGCAGAAGGGCGGATGTGGTTGGGTGGCCAGGACCCGCTGAAGAGCTATGTGAACGCTTGTGGTGGAAAGCAGGCGAACTGGACGGGGATGAAGGGTTGGCACTGACTCGTACTGCCGACTTCTTCTGTAGAGACAGCAAATCAGCAGAGTAACAAAATTGTTGTTGCAACATGTTGCAACGCCATATCTACTGTATTGGCTGCCTTGGAGTGACATCAGCACATGTTGCATCCGAACGCATGCCTACAGCAGGCACCACTCAGTCCAACACAGCAAGTGGTTTAATAAGTTGTGAGTGTTTCCGATGTCTACACATGTCTATACTTGTCTAAAACCAATCCAAGAAGTGGTTTGGTATCTTGAAGGCGTAATAGCATATATGCACTGGAACCTAAGACATATGTGACATATGAGTGTTAGCGGGAAAACCATGGAACACCTCTTAGAGTGAGATGGTGTGACCAAAAGGTGTCCAACCAGCTGATGCCCAATGCAGCTAATGACTTAGTCGTGCACATCGCTTGGTTTCCATCTGGGCCAGTGCAAACTGAGGAGTGTTTTGTTCTCCCAAAGATCCGCCTGAAAGATCCAATTGGCATTTCATGTTTTAATCCATTAAAACCCTGCGCTGTTCGGTGTGACCAAGCACATGTGTCCCCGTAGACCGTGGTGGTCGGAGTGGTGAGCCATCAACCCCAATGGAGAGATGGTCAACTGGGCCAGCTATGTCCATCCCTTGGCCGCGCTATAGGTGGTATAGGCCCATATAGAGTGAACCTGATGGGGTCGAAGTACCTTCGGTCTGTGCTGTTCCCACTAAGCAGGTATAGGTATAGGCCCATGGAGTGTCATTCATCCACATAGACTCGCCCACCGGCCGTCTCACCGGGTCTCGGCGGTGCCAGGCCGTGCGGCGGATTTTGGTGGCCAGCAATGGGATGGCGGCCGCCAAGGTGATGATGTCCATGCGGCAGTGGGCACACATGGAGGCAGAGAGAGGGAGAGAAGATGAGAGAAGCGAGAGAGAGAGAGAGAGAGATTGATTAATTCACATTGATTCGTCGTGATTCCGAGAGCGTGCATTGGGAGGCAAAGGTTCTTTTGCCGTCTCGGTTCGTGTCGGATTTCAAGTCCCAAGTTCCTGAAGGCCCGTGTAGGAGGTCCTTCTGCTAGACGCGCGCCACCAAAGATAGGAAAAGCGTTCCGCGTATAGAAGCGCCCAATTTGTGTTACGGACCAGACGACACCTTCGTATTTGGTGCCTTCTCTGAAACTACTGTACACCCCAGACGCTCCAAACGGCCCTTTGTCCCTCAAAACCTAGGGAATTGAGGCCCCAGACCCGTCCATATGAGGGTTCATCACCGTTTGGGACTGGAAATAGACCTCTCCAAGGCCAACCTGGGCTCCAGCGGAATCCTAGAGTTCGTGGCGATGGCCACGAAGGATGACCTCGATGTTACTCGGATGAGGAGATCTTTAGGGAGGGAGGGAGCCAAAATGCAGGGTGCGGATATCTGAATTGCATCTGAAGGCCCCCCAAAAGTGGACAACCTGACGAAACTGTTTGTGGGGGGCATTGGTTGAGTTTGGTTTTCCTCATTCAAAACAAAGGAAAGCCGTTAATCGGATTTTTCATGGGAAACTGAGGGGGGGTCACAACCGCTCCATGGATGGAATGTTCCCGACTTTGGCTGGCTGTTCGGTTGGACAAAGAGTCCAGGACCTTGAAGTGTTTGTTTTTGACGAACCTGGTGTTTGGATCATCATACTTAAAGAAGTTCATGATCAAATAAATTGTGGAGGTAGTCCGGGATCATAATAAGAGTAGTCCCGAAGGATCTCGAAGGCATGATCAGGTCGCAATGGAGTCAGGCTAAAGCCCAGACAACCCATACCAGCCTGGAATACTCGCTGACCGATTGAGTGATTGGAAAGGGTGTCACTGTAAAATATTGCAACATATTGCCAATATTGCAGCATATTTTCCATGACATGGTGTATCGGGAAGATGAATGGGTGCGTTCCGGCAGGCCCACTCGTTTACTTGCTGCAAAAGTGGCCCACACCTGTACAGAATATGTAGTGTGAAAACCCAATGCAAGATATCCCAGACACGACTAATGGGACTGCCATAGGACTGCCGAGAAACGGCCAGGGGTGGTTTAGGGGGTCAATTGATCGGCAACTATGGCAGTTCCATGGAGTGTTTGGGTCATGGATCATCGCATGGCCTGCAACGACCGTGCACTTGGGATCCCCAAAAAAGCCTCGGGAAGGCTATGATGACCGGCCAAGACCCCTGGTCACCGGTCACCAGTCACCAGGGTTCAGCAGGGTTGACCACATTGTCCTAGCCAAGTACGTGCACCTGCCCAAGCTTTTTTTGGGAAGGATTGGAGGACACCCCCACGTAAACTTATATAAATCCCTTGTGGAAGAAGGCTGATAAAGGCCTTCCCATGGATTTTCCGTGTGTCCGCCAGAACCACGGCCCGGCCCGTCGGCCACCCACCGGCCGTGCGAGGCCAACGCAGAGTTCATCCGCCTGGCCGACAAGCATGTCGAGGTGCCTCCTGGGAAGAACGTGCCTGGGCGGCCCTGGGAAGAGCGTGTTGGGGGCAGGTGGTGACGTCTGACACGAGGGCGCTTGACCGGGCAGACATCCTGCGTCCTCTCATCGCCAATGTGCGTTCACAGCAAAAGACGTGGCGGTTTGGGAATGGGGGCAGGCTCTCATGTACATGATGCTACTTTATATCATCGGCCAAGGCTAGAAGCCGAAGAAGGCTTTTGGCTCCCAGAAGTCATGGCTTCCATAGACAAAAGACCGTCTCTCAACTGCTTGAGACTGAGAGGCCCATGTGATCCCACATCCAAACACAACCCTGGTCACGAACATTTGTGTGCTGGCTCCGGTTTCACAGCGTCGCGTTTTGGCCAAGCTGAGGTGAACAACTATGCGAACGTGGACTTGATCTGCAAGATCGCACAAGCACAAAAGGCCGGGCGACCTTATAAGGATCTGATAGGGGCGAGCTGTCAGAAACATTCTGTGTGGAGTGGCTGATCATTCTGAAGATACAGGCAGGTGCAGATGTGCATCAATTTGCATGTCATATACTCAAATATGATTGATGTAACTATACTATATAGATAGTATAGTATAGGTCTTAGGTCATTGTATTTGTTCCAAATCGTTTTTTCCTTGTGTTTCTTGTTGCTGGAATATTTCCCAGCCTGGCAGGTGGATGCTGTTTGGCCCGGCTGGGGCCATGCATCGGAGAACCCCAAGCTTCCAGCGAAGCTGAAGCCCGGAGATCGACGGAGCGCGGCCACGCGCGTGGCGCGAGGACCGAGCGCTGCGTGGAGCCGCGTGGCGCGTGGAGCCCCGAGTAGCTATAGCGTCCGATCGCTCCGCGTGGGCTGGATTATTGTATAGTATTGTGACCCAGGTTGCATCAAATCCCCTAGGGCCCTAGGGCTCCAAGTACCTGTTCACCCTCTAAACCGACCCCAAACACCTTCTCACAAGGATTCACAAGGTATTTGGAGCGGTATAGGTAGGCAGTATCCATCATTGACCAAGTTTTCTCGGAGTCGTCCCTGGTTGAAAATGGCTTTCCTTCCGTTTGTCATGGAATTCTGGAGAATTTCTTCAGGCCCCCAGTCCAGTCAACCTCAACCTCAAGTCGTCTCCGGAAACCTCTCGTGCGCGCGTGGCGATTGGTGCCGGGTCTCAGGAAGGACTTGGGAATCCACTTCATCGGCCCCACGAGCCCAGTCATGCCCCTCGGCCGAGCCGCAGAGACGTTCATCCGCTGCGCGTTGCGCGTGCCTCGGTCGAGGTCGGCCTTCCAAGAAGTCAACTCCACTCACTCAGTGAGACTCACTCAGGCGTATGTTTTGGGGGAGCGCCTTTTTGGGAGTTCAACTCTTGTGCGGACACAGGTCCGTCCTGGGCGACAAGATCGCTGCTGGGATCCTGGCGCAGACCGCACGGGCTCCAAGGGACGTAGTAAAACGCGCGAGCGGGTGGGTGGGCGTGGACCGCTGGTCCGGCGTCAAGATGGTCCAGCCTTGGGGCTCGAGTCTTCGGTTTGGTTGGGCACCGAAGACTGGAGCCGCAAGTTGTGCAGCATGCGGACGGTAGCCATGGCTGGCAAGGTAGGGAGGGAGTTGGGGAGTAGATGGCGTTCTGCACATGTGTCAGTTTACTGCGCACAAAGAACAAAAGAATCAATCCTCATCTTCAAAAGACTAGAAGTAACGAACAAAATAGAACGTGGTCAAATGTGTGGACATGCCATGTTGCATCTTCCATCTTCAAGTCTTGATGAACAACCTGTAACCAGTCGCCATCAATATCACCAATTCTCCATCCATGTTCGCTCAGCACGTCCTCGCTGCATGTCGTTGCCCAGGCTGGTGTCCCTTCCATTCCCTGGAGCGGCGATGGTCTCACAGCAGAACTCACTGCAGAGGGGACCATTCCAGAGGAGACGTTCAAGCTTCTTGCCAGAGCTTTTACAGGTATTTCCTGTGGCATGAACCAACCAAGATCTCCAGTTTGTCTCGCAGTAAAGATTTCTGCGTGAGGATTTGTGATCATGGTTCTATGACAATCACCCGGTGTCGTTTGTAGACCCCTACCAGCTGCCAAGCGCAGCCCCCAAAGCATCCTGGTAGGGCTTCAATAGTTCTCCACACGCCTGCATCCTGCTTGCATTCCAAATCCTTTGGATTCTCCTCCACAACTGTAATCCCCAAACATCCCATGTTCCCATGTTGTTCAGCTAGGTATGCTTCATGATAGAACCCTATTAGTGATGTTTCCATGTGTTTCCCCTATAGCTATGGTGATTCCGAGTTTAAGTTCCAAGTCTTCCAAGACCTGAAGGAGACCCTCCGGTCGTGTTCGCTCCGGTCGTCCGAAACAAGCATCGCCCCAACCGAAAAAACCGAGGAAGGCCTGTTTGACCTCCGTGCAGCAGGCGGTCGCGTGCGCGGAACGCATCGGTTTCCCGGTGATGCTGAAAGCCTCGGAGGGCGGTGGCGGCAAGGGCATCCGCATGTCGCAGGACCCGAGAGAGACGAGCTCTGATGGCCAGACGAGACGGCCGTGAGACGACGGGAGACTTCGTGGGTGTTTGTGGTGAGATGTCCCTTTGGGGGGGCTTTTTTGTGATGTCGTGTATGTGGTGAGAGAACGGAGGTGAGATTTGCTGGACAGGACGCTTGGCAGTCTTTGAAGGGCCAATGATGTGAGAACACATTGCTGCAAAGCGTCAGGACAAGGAAGAACTGGAGCAACACTTTGTTCAAGTGCGGACCCTTGGCACGAGATTTTCGGGAGGGCAACAACCACATCGTTTGGAAGGGCTTTCCAACCCTCTCAACATCTCTCAACTGCACAGACAACATTTCAAGGGTGGTTATTGGATGGAACACAGATGTCACCAATGCTCGGATCAACCACCACTCGACTCACAGACTTGTACCTAACATATTGTTTTTAAACAGCGCAGAAATCAGGACCTTCCTATAGTGTATACCTCGCACAGAATCCTCCTACGAGTATCCACCCTTTGTCTATACCTGGAGCAACCTTTGTATGCAAAAAATGCCATATAGGTCAAAAAACTTTGGAGCTGCCATGCCAAAGCAGTGCAATGTGCATTTTTCGGTACTCTTTGGGGATCTTGACCTGGCACCTGGTGCAACAGGACACAATACGATTTTGAGAACTGTTGATTAAGCCCTAAACAGCAGACTCTCCAGTTCAACTTTGGGCATTCCAAAGATTGATGAAGGGGTAACTGTGTAACTCTTGGATGCGCTTGCAAAATTTGACAAACAAGTCTATAGCAGAAATTTGCGGGAATATGGCGGAAATTTGCGAGCATATGGCGAACATTTGCGGAAATATTGCAGAAACTCTTGTGGACTGGAAATTTGCAGCATATTGAACCTCACAAACACTTCAGCTTGACCAGGCTGTTTTTTGAAGCTCAATCCTCCGCAGGCAGAAACCTGAGAACATTACTTTTCCATTTGTTCACAGTGAATTTGTGGTCCACGTCTACCTCTATGGGGACACCCCATCACAACATGTCATGTTCTGTTTTCGTGAATATCGTTTTTTTGGTCCAGCATGGTACTTTTTCTTGTGCTTTGAAATATCGCATGTATTTTTTGGAATTGGGTGGTCTAAGTACCTGGCAGTTTGATCCAAATGTTTGTTGGCAATTGGGTGTGTAAACATGCTTTTCATGTACAGATTAGGAATTGCAAGGAGAGAAATTGAAAAACACCCCAAATGCCTATATGCTTCCTTCATGTAGTCCTTCATTGTATCTTCATGTTCTTTTCAATCCCCAATTTCGCACCACCCTCCGAGCATGTTTCCCCAAACCATGCCCAGCCGGTTGCCCCCTTGTTGGGAGGACCTCCGAGCCTCCGCTTCAGGTCCGAAGTGCCGGGCTCGCCCGTCTTCATGATGCAACTCTGCACGGGCGCTCGGCACATCGAGGTGCAGATCGTAGGGGATCAGCCACCTGGCAGCATCGGGAATTGGTCCGATTTGCTGGTGGATCCAGAGAGGGGCCTCGGCCCCTAGAGGGGTGCGGGTTCTCTGTGTGTGTGTCCAGGGCTTTGCGAATTTGGAGCTAGGTTGAAGTATTTTCAGACACACCGTCATGCAGCTTTCGTGATCCAACCGAGATGTTTGATCCCCTGTATACCTTCACCATCCTTCACCAGTTCCCGACACTTCACGCCACTCCGGTTCCGGGTCCGTTCTTTGAGGCATGGGCAAGTGGTGGCGCTCAGCGGGCGTGATTGCTCGACGCAGCGGCGCTTCCAGAAGATATTCGAAGAAGGGCCACCGGTGATCGCCGCTGGGGCTGTGTTTGTTCATGGTCGTTTTTCCGCGCACCCACCGGGGTGGTCGTCACCTGGAGGTATAATATGGACGTACCCGGAAAAGAGATCCTCAAAGGTTTGACGTCCACTGATAATGAGTTGGCGATTGGTCGAAGGGAGTAGACTAGACAGATTGGGTCGGCATTCTACTGGGAGTGAGGTTCAGTGGGGTTGAAAATGGTTGACAGTTGGAACCACTAATTGAAAAGATGACAAACAGTCCCCGCGTTGGCCTCTTGGAGAGGAACAGAGAGTGGGTGACTTGAGACAAGGATGTTCTTGCCCTGACTGATCGATACAGATCGGTGGACCCAAACAGTGCGCTGCAGCCATCGTTGGTGGTTAAGAGACGGGGTTGTGGTCGGAGAGCCATGATCATGGCAACTTCAACCTACTGTACTTCGAACATCTCAGTGGGCCGGAGTTTTGGAGGGACCTTCTAAGTGGGCCGATGAGTTCCGGCTCTTCTCCTCAGACCTGACACTGTGGGCACCGCCTGGGCAACGCCCTGCCCTCTAGGTGCCCAAAGCCACCTTCAAGGCAGGCCGCCTTTCTGGTGTTTGTCATGCAGGTGTTTCGAGTGAGACACGGGCGAGCGTGCAGCTTCATCACGAAAGCTAGCCTTAGCTAGCTGGAGTTGCTCTTGCTTTAGCAA